TAGATGAGGAACAAAAAAGTAAGTCATCTGCATATGGAATCAAAGTAGAATTTCTGAGATTTTTGCATTGTATTTAAATCCTAATGCATCTGAAGCAGCAGTAATAATAATATTTTTCTGTACTTATACTACATTTGAGAAAGGCTTTTATACATAATAGCTCATAAATATTTACTAAATGTATCATTTTCTGGATACCATGTTAGGCATTTGGAATCAATAAGATCTGGTCTCCTCCATGAAGAAGTTCAAACTGGTGGGGAAGAAAAATATACAAATAGACAGGTTCAACAGAATATTCTAACCATCCTAGCCTCTGAGAGTTTCAGAAGCCCAGCTGCAAGGACTGTAGGGCAAGGCCATCTTTTGCTAAGGTGTCACCCACTTCTGTATGTATTTCTGAGGACATTCCCATTTCACAGACCTCCCCACAAGTGAGTGCAGGGTCCTTCTTAGAGGAAGGGTTTTCTGCATCAGTAGAGAATCCGTAGGCTCCCTGAGAGGACGCTAGGGCAGGGACCTGAGAGGACGCTAGGGCAGGGACTCAGTGAGGGATGAGCGGAGGTTTACAAGCGCTTCTCTTTTCCTTTGTTGAAGAAATGTTTGCTGAGAGCCTCCTCTGTGTTTGCCTGTATGCATAAGATGGACAAAACCCTCCCAGTTCTGAAAGAACTCTTAGTCTAGTAACCAGTAGCTGCCTAATGGCATGGGAAATGTTGGACGGAAACATGAATAAAGGACAGTGTAGTTTAAAGGTTCAAAGGGAGGTTTATGCTTCCTGCGGGGATGACCTGCCCTGATCCCCATTCTTGTTCCTTCCAACACCTGGATTACCTGTTCCAGACCAGTGACTCTGGGCTTCAGGCAAAGTTCAGCTTCTCAGAAAACAAACAGCACCTGTGCCCCTGCTGGCACAATACAGGCGACACTGCCAAGGTCTCCAAGAGAAAATGCTGAAGTCAGAAGTCACTGGTTCTGCTCTGGCACACCTGCAGAAACACAGAGGACATTAAGTTCACCATTACTTACCAAATTAATGAATGAAAAACTCTTCTTTTTGATAAGATAAATGCTTTACACGCTCTGCTCTACTCATCCCAACATTTAAAATAAATTTCAATCCCACCCATATTTCTAAAAAGGCAAAGAAGCTGTATTAATCTCACTTTGCAGATGAAGAAACTAAGACACCAAATAGTACAGTGACTCACCAGGTTTGCAGTGGGAGGGTAGAGTGCACTGGGGCTAAAACCCAGGCCGGCTGATTCGTGCTCCTACATCTGATTGCTTTGCCTCCCTCAGAAACAAGATAAACTAAAACCTTCTCTTCTATTCTTTTTTGTAGCAAATTGTGGTTATGTTGGCCAGAATATCATGGGATTCTAAATTAGTTAAGATCATTTTTTGAAGATCATTTTTTTTTCTGATGATTCTCTTGAACCCTGATGGGTAAAACACCATATTAGATACACTGAAAAATACAGAAGCAATAATGTATAGTGTTAAATTAAAGGCTTAAAGATGTCTTGCTAATTGAGTCTTAGCTGTCTTTGGAAAAGACACAGGTAGGTCCATCCTGGTGAGAGAAGAATTCTGATGCCTAGACCAAGTGGTCTCTTCTATCATGTGATGATTTTCTTTTCAACTTTTCAATTAACACCTGGCTTTGTTTACTGTATTGACATGAATTATAAGCTAAAGAGAGGGCCTGGGAACAGATTTTGAAGTAGAACTAGAGAGGAAAACCTGGTTCCATTTTCAGAAGTATGGACAGGGGGAAAGATGATCTTAGAAGGGGTCTTTTAC